GGATCCACGAGGATCCCATCCGTCCCCTTCGGAGATGGGCACGCCAGGGTGACACGTGGGAGCGATGCGCTCTGCGCAGCAGCCCGTCTCTTCTGGCGAGCCGAGCGCTGCTGAGCCCTCCCCGCCCTTCCTCTCGCACGCGCCGTTTCTGCGACGCCGACGCTGGCTCGTGCCTTCCTTGGGAAGGTGCCTCCGTCCTCAGCTGAGGGAGGAAAAAGTGATGAGCTGGTTTGTCATCTGCCTCCGGCACTTCACGCTGAAACGCAACCGTGTCCCGAGGGTGCCTGCTCCAGCCAAACCGACCCCCCAGGCCGGGGTGCGGGGGGGTGGAGGGAGCCGGTGTACGGCACAGATCTTCCAGCACAACTAAAACACCCGATACGCCTCGCCTCGTCCCAAGTCCCTCCACCTCATCGCCCACCCCCACTGATGGCAGCACAGTTCTCTGGCTCTGGAAAAACGAAGGCAGCACACAGAGCGGAGGAAAAATGTGGTCTGGACATGGGTAGGGCTGCACTCCGAACAATAATCAGCTATTTCAGGGGGAAGAATACCGCCCTTGTGGCACGCTTCCGTCTCTACCAGTCGCCGACTGAAGCTCGGCGCCAGCTGGGGTTCGGCTGCAGGCTCGGGGCCGGGGCACCGCGCTCTGCGTCCCGGAGAGACGCGGGGTGCTGGAGGACGGGGCGATCTGTGAACAGCATGGAGCCAGGCGAGGAAGCAGCAGAGCTAAGGAAGGCCAGGCCGACCGAGGAGGCTAAGTGCACCCCAAAGACGAAACAGGTCTGTCTTCGTCCCGCTCCAAACATTTCCCCACCAGCCACAGCCAGCACCAACCCTGAGCCGCAGAGGACGCACCCACCTCGGGTACTTCAGCGACGGATCATGTCAGCTCGGAAAATGACCACCAGCCTCCCCCGTAAATGCAACAGAAGAGGTGGGGAACCCAAAGGGAAAAAGACTTTTTACAGCTATTTCCCCTGACATTCCCTAAAGGGAAAAGAAATCCTGGAGATGGGAAGCTGCACTCCAAGGCATCTGCTCCCTTTGCTTTATTAAAGGTTGGACTTGATGATCTTAAAGGTCTTTTCCAACCAAAGCGATTCTACGATTCTATGATTTACGGCAATCACAGATGTCCTTAGCACTTGGTGTAAACCAGGAGATACAAAGGCTTATATGAACAAAATAATAACCTCCTGCTCGATCTGCACAGGAGATCAAGCCATTCCAGGTACATCAATAAAACAGCTCCCCAGCACGCAGGGAAGAGCTGCAAAGGAATAGCCAAGCACTGTGAGAGACGGGCAGGCCCAAATTAAGACAGCGTTGAAACAAGGCAATAATAAATTAACGTGCCTCCGTCCTGCAGACGGACAGCGCGCGCCGCCACCAACTGTCGCTAACAGCAAGGAGCGCGCCAGCTCGGCGTGCAGACGCTCCCCGTCTCCGGAGAACACCGCCCAGGCTGATACTAACCACAAACTTCTCGCCGTTTTGCTCCACGTGCTTGTACGTGGGGATGGAGATGGGCACAGCCTGTTTTTCCGTGTAGTCATAGAACGACTGCCCCAAAGAGTCATCGCTGGGATCCAGGTTATCGGCCTCGTGGGGAGGCACGGACAGCACCGTCAGAATTAACTCCTTCTCTCCTGCACGGATCAGGTCCACCACTTGCTTGTGCGTCGCTCCTTCGACGTTCACCCCATTCCTGCGGAGGAGAAAGCAGAAAAGCCGTAAGCAAGGCAGCGGTGGCTGCAGAGCCTTCAGACCACACCAGGACCAGCCCAGAGATCCATCCCCTACCTGCTTCCCCCAAAAACCCCTCCAGCCTCAACTGCTCTGGCTACTCCAGTTTCACTCTGGTCTAAGCTTCACCAACCTTTCCTATTGACGATTTCTGGTGCCATTAGTTACTGAATTATGTTTAAAGACCTCAGACACAACGAAACTTCTTTAAAGCTCCTTGGATATTTAAAACAGGCTTTGCAGTTCCTGCCATTTCTCAGTGGAAGGACACGGCACGTTCGTACCCAGAGCGCGAGCCTTTTCCCGTCAGCCCACGGCAAGCACAAGGAGACCACAGAACCGGGGCGGAAAACGCTGAACGCCTAACGCACACCGCTCCGCTAGGGCAAAGCCCATGTCCTGATCCTCTACTGCTCCAAAACGCAGGCAAATTTCCCTAAATCCAAACTGAAGCTTCCAGGTGAGCAAGAATGAGGAAGCGGGCAAGGAGGTAAATGGTGTCAGAAGGTGGTGCCCCCATCCACCAAGACCCAGCACCCCCGAGCACACCTCCTCGGGTGCAACCCAACGGAGATGCCCGTTCCCTCCAGTTATTTCCCAGCACACTGCTCTGCCCGGCCCCAAACAGCCCAGGAGCACTGCTGCAGCGAGTAACGGGTTTGTGCTTCCAAAATCACTCCAACCTGATCACCAGAGCTCCTCACAATGAGCCCCGAGCCCCTGGAAGCTCTGAGGACCCAGGACAGACCCAAGCCACC